TTATTATTATTATTATTATTATTATTATTATTATTATTATCTAATTGTTTTTATTGTCATTTTTTTCGATTTCTTCAAATTTTTACCAACCGGTTTTTTATACTTTGTCTATTGTGCCCGCATAGGAGCAGTACGGCTTCATCTATGAAGTGCTACTTCAGGTTTTATTTTGTGGAAAAACATCGCTTCCTGCCTCCGAATTTCTTGGTTACTTTCCAATTCTAACCAAGCGTCAAGGCCTTCAACACTCAATCATGGATCTTCAACTTAAGGTAAATCTATCAATTCAAGAGAATAAATCTTTAGTGCTACCTATTCTAGATATGAAAGATGTTTATTGTTTTGAGGATGATTGTTGTGTCTACAAAATAAGATTATGAGAAACTTTAGAAAATAATATCTGAATTAGCAAAACATTATCTTGCAGACATTAAACAGCTTGTCGCCAAATCCACCTGCGACTCTAACTACGGCTGGAGTCCTTGCAGACAATGTGATGAAAAACAGATTTGAGGATATTATTCCAAGTAAGTACACTTTAGTATAAGATGTACTATCAGTCATGAGTTAAACAAAATGAAAAGTTTAATTCCACTTTGAATTAATTAATTCATTTTATATTGGCCTAAGTTATTACCTTAAATTAAAAATTTTAATTTAAAAAATCCCCTGTCAATTTTCGTACAGTTAAATAATAACTTTCCTGTATTCTTTTTCATATATCCTCAAATTGGCTGCAAATCAATTCAAGGATTTTTGTAGCAAAATGTCTAAATGTCTGAAAACTATTTTTTTCGATCTGTCTCTCATTTGAAGCTAATAATTTATTTTATCCTATCAGATAAGCTGTACAAAATTTCATTTTTGAGGTAGTTTCCTTTTTTAATGATAGTACATCTTTACAGGACTTCGGGTATAAACAAAACTAGAACAATGTAGTGACTATATGATCTCATTTTTTAACTCGTGTTTCTGTGTTAATCAAATAATGTATATACCATAACTTTTGCCCTAAAGAGAATAATACATTTTTTTAGGTACCGTATATTTTGAGAATAAATTTTCCTATAAAATTAGGTATAACTGTACCATTCTAGACCTATTATCAAACCCTAAATAATACGATCTAGAACGTAATGATGTCACATATCCGAGCATGCGAACGTTGTCGTCTGAATTCTAAGGAAGAATTTGGAGAGAATCTAGGTTGTGCAGAGAACGCTGGATAGTCACGGATGAGTGAATCCGTTCTACGTTCACGTCGGCGCGCAAAATAGGGAGCTTTCGATTTGTGCGACGACGCAACGCTAGAACGGAATCACTCATGCATGACCGTCCTACCTGGCGTCCTACGTTGCATACGTAGATTTGGCCAAATTGCGTTCCAGAATCTACTCGACGAGGTGACCTTAACGTTCTCGCATGCGCAGATGACTTTTAGTGATGTCATTACGTTCTACGTCCTTCCGTCGTCGTGCAATCGAAAGCTCCCTAATACAAGCTTTATTTGTCTTACTTACTATCTATTTGATTTTTGTTGTTAAACTTTAACCGTTAATAGGCCTACACCAAACACAATAAAAGTATCGATTGAAACAGTTTATTTATCGATTAAAATGATTGTACTGAAATAATAATTAAATCAGATGAAACTATTAGAATATTTGATTTTTATCCATATTTTTATCTTTTTCTGTGTAGTTGACACAACCAGACCATATTTGATGACACCAAGCAAGAATGGGAATGATTACATCAATGCTTCATTCTGCAATGTATTTACAAGCATTATTATGACATTGTAACATTTACATTTATCACCTCAAATCACATAAGAAAGCTTAGCAGGTTTATATTTAAAACAGACAAAACCACATGAATTTTGATTTTTTTTCATAATATGATTAATTGTATTAGTCGAGTAGTTAACATTAAAATATGACCAACCACAACAGAGATAGGGATACACACATGTCCCGCAAACGCATACGTACGTTCACACTGTCGTTAAAATAGACCTTAAAAATAATATTAATAGGATGGGGTTTAGTGGTGAGGATTCGTTAATAAAATTAATTTGAAATTTTGATAATTATTCTAAAATATCAGGTTGAAACCTTGGGGGTCATTGCCATTTTAGTTGGTTTTAACTTTCTTTAGTCAGTTGACATTCCCGAATCCTAATGGTTTTCCAGAGGTTTCTGTCCTTCATAGCAGTTTTGAGGTCCTCTTCCAGTCCAGTGTCCGCTTTAAGGATGTCATTATATGAGTAAAGGTCTTCCTGGTTTCCTTTTCCAATGCTTTGGTGTTTAGTATAAACTTGGATGCTGGCTCCTCCTCGCTCCTGGAACAATGACCAGCAAAATCTTGTTCTTCTTGCCCTGACCTTATGGCATAATGTGGTAGGTCAACATATAATTCCACATTAGACACATGTTGATTCCTGTGGACATTGAGCACAGTCCTCTGCAAGCGGGTATAGCATCTTGGTTTTTAAGGTGGGTTACAATTAGAGTATGTGTTAAAACTAATAGGGCACCGGGTCGCTGCTATGGATAAATGTACTGAAAAATACGGTACTAACACACTTGCTCTCCCGTTGGTGGCACTGGTGGATTCAAGCGGACCAAACCGGTCCAAATTTTCGAATTAACAGAAAAAAAAACTTATAAAAAGGGAAAACTATATTCAAATTTCGAGTTTGGGTGTGCGATTTCCGGTCATATCAAGAAGTGCCATAATCATAAACTTTCTTATCCCAGCCTCAACCATGGTGGGGCTGAGGTGGATAAACCCTCAATCAATAAAAGTCCCACCTTGGGACCCCCTCTATTTCAAATTCCTGGATCCGCCACTGGTCGGTAATTTACAAATTAAAACATGTTTGTTTTGTACTGAAAACCGATTAGATAGGTTATACATTATCCATCATATATACGCAGTGTAGCCTCATAATTTTCAAATAATGTTTGTATCTTAGACCATAGATTCATTATTAGCATTCGGTTATCGTTATCTATAGGCCCCTATAAACAAATTGTCCAAAGCTTCGTGTTTTATTACTAACGCCGCTGGGTTAATTTAGAGTACTGGATCATTATAATATTATTGTTCTACAAACATATCGTGTGGTATATTTTTCAGAGCTATCGGAAACGTAATGGATTTATCGTAACGCAAGCTCCGTTGTCAGATCAAATCGATACGTCTGAGGATTTTTGGCGGTTGGTCTATGATTATGAGGTACATACAATTGTCATGCTGAATAACCAAGATCACACGGTAATTATTATCAATACAATATTTCATT